TAAAAAAATAAAAAAATAAAAAAATTCGTAAAAAAAAACAGCCAATAATAGAAGAAAGTAGATGGTGTCATTTCTATGTCTATGAGAATGGGCATCTATACTAAATTTAAATAAATATTTTCCTGGGACTAATGCTTATCCTTTACTCAGCCTTTTTGATACAGTATTTGTAGATGCTATCAAACTTCCCCTTAGTCTTCTATTTTAAGCTAAACATGCCTAGTTCCTTAAACCCAGTGTTTCTCAACCTTAGCAACTTTAAGATGTGTGAACTTCAACCCCAAAAATTCCCTAGCCAGCATGCTGGCTGGGGAATTCTGGAAGTTGAAGTCCACACACCGTACAGCAGCTAAGGTTGAGAAACACTGGGTTAAAGGAACTAGGCATGTTTAGCTTAAAATAGAAGACTAAGGGGAAGTTTGATAGCATCTACAAATACTGTATCAAAAAGGCTGAGTAAAGGATAAGCATTAGTCCCAGGAAAATATTTATTTAAATTTAGTATAGATGCCCATTCTCATAGACATAGAAATGACACCATCTACTTTCTTCTATTATTGGCTGTTTGTTTCTACGATTTTTTTCATGTTTTTATCTTTTTATGATTGTGTATTTGATAAGTATTTGTACCATGGATCTTTTATTGGGTTCATTGCATCCTTGTTGAGAGGCTCTCAATTGTGGTAGAAAAAGAATTGAATAAATATAATAAATAAACCTTGCAGTTAAGATGCATAAATAAATCATGAGGAAAGGGAAAAAATAACACAAGGATGGAGTCCAAATAACCAAGACTTATCTTTTATCACTCAGTAATAAATGGGTTTAGAGTGAAATGATCCAGGTTCAAATTGGCAATTAAAGAGATGCTGACTAACTTTGAGCTGGGCATTCACTCTCTGTCCTTCAGAATGGAAGAGTTGAGTCAACCCAGATGTGTGAGGCCCTGAGCAATTGGGAGGAAGGGCTGTTTAGGGAGAGGTGATGGGATCATCAGATAAATGGAAACATTTATGTCAGAGTAGGTGATCTAGATAGGACTGTTAAATTCAGTATTAATTTTTAAGAGTAATGGTTTATACATTTCAGTTCCCAAGTGGTAGGTTGGAGGATCCTGTGGGTGGGTTACTAGAAAGACAGCAGATGGGATTATTGGGTAATGGGTAGCATTTCGGAAAGACAGAATTAACAGTCCTTTTCATTGGCTGATGCACTAAATAAACAACCTGAAAAGTGGTTAAGGGTATGAGCAACTATGTAGTAGTTGTAATTAAGTTCTACATAATCTAATTTAATGTTTTTACATAGAGAAACAAGATTTGAAGTTAAAACAGAGCTCAAAGTGCTTATTCCCTACAGTAATTTTTTTTTTTAAGTCCCTCCCCCTTTTCTTTGATTCTGACATCTGTTGGGTTGTGTTCAGTTGCTTATCTGGTCTGTGGTGTAGTTTGCATCCACGTAATGTGAATGCAGACTTTGTTCTGAAAAGCTGAAATTAAATACATATGCAGCAGTTTTGGATGCCATTTAAATTTGATGTGGAGTAAAGCTCTGTGGGCTTCTTCTTTCCCCTAAACAAAGCGTAAACATCTGTAAAATAAATTACTATTTCAGAGGAAAAAGTTCATGGTGAATTTTAATAATTACAATAGGGAATAGTGCATACAATGTCTAGTGTTGCTGTGTGATTTGGGTGACTATGACTTAAGTCTATAGAGAAACAAGTAAACTATAGCTTTTTTAACTAATTCTTTCCAGACTTTGTTTGATTTGCAGAAGACTTTGGTTCTTTCCCTATGTTATAAATTTATGAGTTAAGGGCAATATAATATCTATAAATCTCATTTAGTGCTTGACTTTTTCCTGGCTTATATAGGTCTCAGCAGAGATGAGAATTGCTCTTGTGTTTTTGTATGCTTGTGAGTAGGGATCTGTAAATAGAATAAATTAAATCAGTGTTTTTAAATATATATTTTTCAAAACAATTTCTTTAAAAGAGAAAAGAAATATAATACAGACATATTCAATGAAAATCTGCATTTAAAATGGAACTTTGATCTAACACATGACTAGTGGCAAATAGATTTTTAAAAACTGCTGTTTTACATAGATCTTTTAAGGATATGCATGGCACATATGTTATTAAAGATTATTATTAATATAGACATGATGCTGGGACCTAGGGAATTAGAGTTTAAATTTAATACGGACAACTTGGTTTTATGCCCTTTATATTATGACTCACCCTGATTTTTATTTCAACAAAATAGAATTTCTTAGCAGTATCTTATTTGTTCTGTGATTACTCCCACTATTATTCTTCACTATTATTTTTAAGCTTATTCAGTATGCTCCATAATTTATTTTTCGTCTATCTGTTGAAATTTAAGTCATGGTTTACATCATTATTTTCTAATCTGGCACCCACTAGAGGTGTTGGAACATCTGAGAGATCCCAAGTTGGTGAAAACTAGTTGTGATTAACATGAATGAGTCATGGTCAGCCCTTGATTTGAGAAAGGAATTTTTGCTCTATTAACAAATTTGGGAAGATAGAATTTTGATTTCGTCTGATATGTGTATCTGAAATTACAGATTAAGCAAACACTAGTTATTGAACTGTAATTTGTTCTAAAGTAAAAGCACTCTTGTTTGTGTACAAAAAAGGTAAAAGGGACAAGGCAGTTCAAAAGAGCAAAGCTGTTCATGGTTTGTTCCTGAAGTGTTGAACAATTGACTAGGGTTGGAAGTGAACTTTTTAATAAAATATTTGAAAGCAGTAAGATAAAGGTACTCATGCAACCTACATTCAGTTTGGAGCCCAAATTTTGTTCATCCATTAAATAACTGGGTAATCGTTTCCTCTCAGAAAGTTGGAGTGTTAGAGGGCCAGCATCTGTGTCCCCATGAAAGTGATTTTATTATGTTGACTAGATCATATATTCATTTCATCAAAATCTGTCCATGAATTCTGTATAGACAAGAGAACATGACCTCTATACATTAAAACATCAAACAAGAACAGGTGGTGCATATTCTCCAGATACTGTTGACTATGCTGCTTTTTTCCTTCTCCTTGTTATAATTATTTTATCTTTTTATCTTTAATTTGCCATACTTTTTTTTTTTTTGCATGTATGTCTAATAATAAAGCATCTTATCTTCTGGTGCTTATCCTCTGGTGTTAACCTGATGAAATGATGGTAACATGGAAATTTAGCCTCTTTCAGGTCAGGTGCACTCCTGTTGGTGAGTCCTGTGGAAAGTTCTGAGTTGGCAGTCCCGTCCTTTCCTGGGGCTAAATCCAACTGCGACTTAATTTTTCATAGATTCTAGTGTTATGTATTATTTTGTTATTTCCTATTTCCTGCCACTGAACCTTTGAGTGATTGAGTTATCAAACAAATCATAATTTTGTTTACTGTGCTACTTCCCCCTTTAGCAATATTTTTCTAGTATTAGCAGAGTCGTTTTAATTTTGTGATTCAATAAATAAATATTTATCTTGCATATATCTCAAAATAATGTAAAGTTTAATATTGCAGTAGTTCATTGGGATTCTGAAGTGCCCATAGTAGAGGGTTGACAGTGCATGGTGCTGGATTAGCGGAGACATTAAAGGTTACTTTTTGACAGTAAAGTTGCACCTGTCCTGTACAGGATAGACTGCCTTCACGGGTTGGATTTCTGTTGAAGTAACAGTGCCCTCATGTGGTGGAGGGTTATGGGAATATCTTTCCTAGATAGTAAATTTATTCCTGAACAACCTTTCAAGATTTTACTTTTTATTAGTTTCATGTTTTCCTCTTCTTCCTAAGAAAAGGAAAAACTTTTGCTGTCTCTTGTGCATATCTCTTGTTTATTTGTGCTCTCCCTCCTCCAAAAACTGGGTTTGGTTTTAATGGTGTTCTGTTTTTTCTTTTTTCTTTTTACTGGATCCCTATGAGAATCTATTTGATTAAAAAAATCCCAAACCGTGTTAATATGACATTTAAAAGTTGGGGGTTTATATTTTAAAATTAATTACTGTTCAACAATTAGATGTCCATCCATTCCTATATCTCTTTCAGCTTGCTTTTTGGAAATTATCATCTGAAAGACTTAGTATAGTAGAATGTTTCATCCAGAAGTAAGACCATATGTTTAAATTCTTTTAAAGTTTTAAATTGGAATGCATTACTTGTAGTGCAATGGATTTGTGCCTTCATTTTTTAAAGAAAGAATCCTGTGAGTTATTAATGTTCAGTGTTCTCTCATTTCAATCTTCCAAGGCCCACAGAAACCTTCAAAATCAGAGATGTTACAGGTGGAGTTGCTTCTTTATAAGTAAGTACTTTAAATGTTACAATCACAAAATCTTTTCTGCAGAGCTACAAAAACATTTAGTAATATAATCTCTGCATCTTGTAGAATAGAAAAGTTATTCATGTAAATTACTTACTATTTCCAAGTAAAACATTGTCACTGAACAATTTTGTAGTTGGCTTTCTATTTTACACACAATGAGTAATTTACATGTTTGCATAAAGAAAACTTTCTGTGTTTAAGGGGCTAGAAACTTTGTCCTGAAGGTACACATTACACTTTCTTAACTGTCTACTTTTCTACAATTTTTATTTTATTGTAGATTTCTCACTGGCAAAGGCAAAATAGTTATAAAATATTCATAGTTATTACAGATTAATATTGCATTTATGTACTTGGGTAAATGAAAATTGATGAATATCAACATTCAAAAACTGAATATCCTAGCCAAATTTTGTGAAAGTTGTTTTCAGTGTATATTGTAATAATACAAACAATTACAATAGGTAAAATGCTTAAGGAGGTCCAGCGGTTGCCTATATTTTATCACCTTGGAAAAGATACATTTTGTAATTAATGTACTAAATAAACCCATCCTTCTTAGGATAATGGAGTGTGGACCTAACTCTTCATCATCCTTACAGGCCTTCTTGGTTGTGGCCTCCACATGGAACAGCCTTCCCCCAAAGGATTAGTCAGCCCTATTAAACTGTTTTAATTTTAGAAAACAGTTAAAAGTGGCATTGTTCCAACCACCTTCAGTCTTGCTGATCATAGATGTCCATCACAGATATTGCTGATGTATTATTGGTGGGTTTTCCTTTTTGTAGTTTATATTGTTTCTATTTGGGTTTTAATTTTAACTTGTTAGCCTCCCAGAATCCTTTGGGGCTGGGATGGATTATAAATGAAGAAAAGAAAAGGAAGTATTTCTTTACATGTACAGTATTAAGGTTAAACATGGGCATTGAGCTTAAAGCCTCAAACATTCCAACAAAGAGCAAAGTCCACTGCTCCCACATTAAAGAACCAGAACTTTTTAAAACAGAAAGGGCTCATCAAAATTAGCAGTATTAGACCAGCAAACAGATTAGTTCTGGGAGCCTCCTAAATTAATATTTATCTAACCTGTAATCATAAGGCAAAATAGGAAGATAATAACTAAATGTCCCAGGATAAAGAAGTCAACAGACTGGGTATTCATGTATTTATCCACCCTTCTGGTGACAGTGAGACATGGACTAACAAATTTATTACCACAAAAGCTTCTGTGTATCACAGTTCAATAAATACGTGGAGTATAATCTTGTATATATCATATCTGTGCAGACTCTGCACCTATGTACCACGTATCTGATGAAGCAGACAGTGAAACGGAGGTATTTATCCATGTGTTATTCTATGAAGTGCCACAAGTTTCATTATTTATCTGCTGCAAAACAGAGCTACCCATCTGGAAAGTGTGACATAGAGCAAGGGTTTCCTTGGTAGTGCAAATGTGCATGTAAGCTCAGATGGGTGTAGGTGATCCTTTAGATATACCAGTACCAAAATCTTCAGTGCTTTATGAGTTGAAAAGAACACTTTGAATTAATCCTGAAAACAGAATGTGAGACAGTAAAATTAACACAGAATTATGTGATTTGAGAACAAACTCAAAATAGGAGTAATTTTATCAGTTGACTTTCCAGATCTTTTCAAAGGCAGCAATGAATAGAGCATGCTACAGTAATCTAATCACAATGCAAACAGGCCACGTGTAAGTAGCCATGACAGAATCTGCCTTTTTGAGGAATGGATGCAACTAGTTCATCAGCCTATATGTTCAAAAGCATTTCTGTCTACCAGGACTGAACATAAGTCAAGGGAAAAAGAACAAACGAGTGAAGAAATCCTCAGGAGAGCAAATTCTGGGCTGAAGTCATTCAATGTACAGGAACTGAGATACTAATGGGTAGGAAAAACCCAGGGCTGAGAGGAAGAACTATAAAAGCAAAGAGATAAAGGAGCAAAAGTAATCAAAAGAGAAGGAAAGCAGAAAGGGTGTGAGAGAGCGGAAGCAGCACAACTGGCAGAAGTAGAGGAAAAAAATAGAAAATAGAGAAAGATTTCTGCTAAAACAAGCCTACACAGATTAGAGTACCTGTACAAATGATCTTTCTTGTTCACACATTTAGATGCTGCCAGTAATCTCAACTACAACATGTGAATGAGGATTGAAAACCTAGGAACAGCACCTTCCAATCAGTTAAAAATAAATGGTACCATCAGCTAGAAAGCACTGAATCACCAGATTATTATAAATTCTGCTTTCTTGCCTATTGTATTTTGATTTGTTCGTTTGTTTGATTTTTAGGGCCACTCACTTGTCAACAACTCCAGGCAGTTTACAGAGGATTAAAATAATAAGAAACCTTTGTTTTGAATTAAGCTCTTTGTCATGAATAAATCTAAATAAGGTTTTGTTTGCTGCTGTTTGTTCTTCTGCTCTGAAAGCGTTAGGATGGACCTTTCCCTGGTTTTCGTCCCCTGTAGCCTTTTCAGGCCACAGTGGTTGAAAATCAGTAGCATGGTTTCGGGTCTTTAACAGGGTGGGAAATATACAGAATTATAATTTTAGCCATAAAATACACTTCACATAATTAAAAAAAAGAACTCCAAAATTTGCTTCAGAAAATCCATGAAAGAAAGCAAAAATCTGAACTCTGCTCATACTTGTGACACAGAACCTCTATTTTACATCGTTACCCTAGCTACTTCTACAGTACTCCCTCTCCCCCATAAAGGGTGCTTGGCTGTCAAAATATTGCCTAAATTGTTTGAACTCAACTAAGAATAATTGTATTCGTACAAATTCTTGTAAAGTTGTCAGGGACCGACTGTACAAGTTTAACAAGTTTACAGAAATCACTTGGGCTGGAAGGTGACAGAGAGGGCCTGAAAATAATGTATAGATTGTGCAAAGATAAAATGAATCAAATTGTCCAGCTGTCAGTGGTTCAGGTCAGTAAAAATTTTTTAACAGCACTCAGCTATCTAAACCAACTATTTTGTTTTTAGTTTTAATTGCTTGTTTTATTTTACTTTTGTTAGTAACCTCTGCATGGCATGTTAGCTACTGCTCATAACAAAGTTCTTAGTCTAATAAAATTACCACTCAGTTAAATATAGTTCTACTGTCTTTTTGTAGAACAACAAAAATTTGGCTCATTGTTCTCTCATTTGGAGGTTAAGAGCCTGTGACATGGCTTGTTTTTAATCCTCACATTTGTTTTTGTCAACCTTTGTTTTATAATATTCTTGTTCTATTTCTGTTATTGTTAGTTACTATTATTTATGCATTTTTATTTTAATATTGGAGATGGGTGGGACATACATTTTAGTAAAGAATGATAGTGAATAATAATTAGAACAATTCATGTTGCTGTAAGTAGGTTTTTTGTTTTTTGAGTTGTGAGCCCTCGGGGAAGAATGATTAATTTGATTCAGAAACCTATTTTCAGAGCAGCTCTGTAGGTGTGCGAGGGAGAATCTATAGGTGCTGAACCAGTAAAACTATAATGCTCCCAAGGTGATCTCCTTTCTTTAACTTTTTGGTGAGCACGATTGTTGTTTTTGATTTTCCTTCCCATTGACAGAGAGGGAAGATCCTCTGGCTTCAAAGGTTGCACAGTGATTTCTTCTTGTTGGGAAAATATCAGATCCAAGCTTTCCCACAATCCTCCACCTAACGTGTCTCTTTGGCTCTTGTTGTTGTTAGTGCTCCCATAGGTGCCCTTTGTTTCTGGTTTTGGTTTTTCTGACATCCAAATGAATTCTGAGATCTGCATCTGTGATTAGAGAGAGAGATCTGATAAAACTAGGAGTGCATATCATTTGATAAGGTTGAGATGACAGAATTTTATTTCTGCTTTTCTGATTCACAGAAAAAATCTTGGAAGCTTGTTGAAGTGAGATGGGAAAACTAATCAATTATACCCAATTTGCTAGTCACCAACAGTTTTATTTTCTTACTGTTCTGTGTAGAATAGAGGTTGGGAGACATCTCTGTAGCAGGGATGTGAGAGTTGAGAATTTTCTCAAGTTGGACTAACCTTCCCCTCGCTCATATGCACAGTTTCTGTGAGTTCAAGTGTGTATTTTTAAATGGCAGTACTGTAATTTAAAATAATCTTCATACAAATAATCTCTCCCTCTGCTATTCATTGCTCAAAGCATTCTTAGAATGTGGTAGATCTAACAATGAATAACAGTTCAGGAAATGAATGCCAAGGGTCTAGCAGCTCTTCCTCAATTGAGACATCAAATGTTAACCTTGCGTTTGGTAAACAAAAGATATAAAAACGCCTCTGCATGATATCAGTGCAGACTCTTCTGGACATAAGAAGAAAAGATCTTACTGTGTTTGCAGCTGCTTTCTTTTCTTCTTTTTTTAATGGTTCCATTTTAGCTCTCTGTGTGGCCCTCACTTTAGCTGTTTATTTAAACTGAGCCAAAAGGCACTTTTCTAGAAATGATTTATTAATTGACAAAACAAGGGACGCTGAAGTAGAATAGAAAGAACTTTAGGAGTCTGGTGATACTATGCTTTCAGATTTGCGTTTTTGTTCAAAGGAAACAAGAAACATAGTCTTTGAACAGCTTGAAAGGGAGGAAAATCTTCTCTTACAATTGAATCCAGGTACTCTACATCCCAAATCATCTTTAGAAGAGGCAACCTTGTCCAGTTTAATGTCCTTATGATGTGTTCTACTCCAGCTTCCATAGGCCTTAATGGGACTCCAATGAATCTGGAAAATGCCTGATCAGAATAGTCTGCTTTATTAGATTAGCCTATATGATGAGCTCTGCCACATTACAATTGATGCATCCTTGAATCATTCCTAATTTATCCTAATGCCACCGTAATCCCTACCAGTCTCATTTTCTAAGCATGTTGTGAGAGCATTATATCCCAGTGCATATGCATTAGGGGAGTTGGGAGCTATGGAGACCCTTTAGAAAGGGAAGAGGATCCATTC